GGCTCCCCCCCTCCCTGGGCGGCCGCGGCCGCTGAGGTGGCGCATGCGCCCTCCGTCCTGGCTGCAGAAGCCAATAGCGCTGAGCTCAGCGTCTGCCAGCCGCGCGCCTCTGCTGCCTGCCAAGAAGCCGGATTATTTTTAGATAAAATGGGGGTGCGGGGGGGGGGAGCGTGGGCGGAGGAAGCCCCCGAGCCGGGAGGGGGGAAGGGACGGAGGGAAGCGGGGGGGGTGTCATCTACCAAGGGGTCTGGAAAGGCTCAGGAACTCCTCTCTTGCCTCAGTTTCCCCATGTGTGCCATGGTGATGGGGGAGTGGGGCGGGCGGAAGCAGGACTCAAACACTGTTTTCACCCATGAGGCTCAGAGAGTGCAAGGGACTTGCCCCGGGACACACAGCATGAAAGTGAGGCAGCCGGGATTCGAACCCCAGGCTCCAAGGAAGCCAGCCTGGCAGCTGTGGGTGCGTCCCGCGCAGAGGGCACCTGGGCCTCCAGGACAGCCATCGAGGCCGGATCCCGGCTGAGACCTTGGCGGGGACAGGCTCAGGCTGTCCCGAGCGGGCCCAGGCTGGGGGCCCCGGGGTGGGCGCCCTCTCCCCCGCAGGGCGGAGGCCCCGCCGTCACCCACCGTCCCCTCTTTGTCTTCGCAGATGCGGAGCAGGGCAGCAGCCCGCGGACAGGGCTGAGCTCAGACCAGGAGGACAGCAAGCCCATCACACTGGGTGAGTCTGGGGGTGTGGGGGGCCTCACGTACCCCTTCTCGGGGCTCCAGACCACCTGCGGGCTTGGCGTGGCGCTGTGCCCGCTGGCCACACACCCAGACGTGTTCCTTCCTCGTGGTGAGGGGGGCGGGCAGGGTGTCAGGGCTGCTGTTCCATGTTATAGGTGGGTAAACTGAGGCCAGAGGTTCCAGCACCCGGGGCTGGCCACGAGGATGTCCTTCCTTGCAGCAGCCAGGGGACGCCCGGGCTCCTGCCCGCAGCCCTCCACACCCGCACCTCCCTCTCTGCCCTGCGATCCTCCCCTGCACCCCGTGGGCCTTCCTGCTGCACCTCCCACACGTCAGGCTGTCCCTGACCCCAGGGCCTTTGCACAGGCCGGTCCTTTTGTCTGGACTGCTGCCTTCCCCCCCAGACCTCCCTAGATGTCACCTCGCATGCCCCTTCCCACAGAGGTCCCCCCGCAGCCCCAGCCCCTGCGGCCTCTCCGGCCACTGGCCTGTGTCTTATTCCCCCCCCCCAAGGAAGTCTGTGATTGCATAGGTGTTTACTTAGTGATTATGGGTGTCTGTTTATCTCCCCCCCCCAAGAATGCCGCCCCAACGGGCCGAAGCTTCTGTCTGCCTTTGGGGGCCTCCTGCAGCCCCGTGTCCACAGTGGAAAGAAAACAAAAGGGATGGATGGAGTAGAGGAAGAAGAGGAAGAACAGGGCAGGGAGAGGAAGAAGAAGAGAGGACCGGGAGGAGGGAGGGAGGAGGGAGGGAGGAGGGAGGACCGGAGAGAAAGAAGGAAGGAAGGACCAGAGGCCCCCACCCATCGGAGGCTCCGCACAGGCATGCACAGGGACACAGAAGGTTCCAGAAGGCGGCCCACGGGGCCACGCCTCCCCGGCTCCAGCCTTATCACCCTGCGTCCAGCCTCTGTGACCCCGCGAGGCCTCCCCGGGAGGCAGATGCTGGGGGAGGCGGGGGGGGGGGCCTGGACTGCGGGGGGGACCTTGGGCGTCTGGCGTCCCCCCCCATGGTGCTGGGCCAGGGCTGCACAAACAGGAAATCCCAGCTGGGGGAAGGGCAGGAGACACAGGCTGACAGCTCCGGCCAGCTGGGTCAGCAGGAAGCGGCCGCGGCCACTTCCCCTGGACACTTGGGGGTCCACCGTCCCGCCCTCCCCACATGTCCCGGCCGGGCAGCCGCGGGTGTCACCGGGCCACGGGCTCTGGGCTCCTGGACAAGCCGGGCACCCGGCGGCCAATGCTGCCCCCTGGGGGCCGGGAAAGGGACTGTCCCCACCGCGCCCGCAGGACAGAGCTGGCCACCTCCCCATGGGCTCCGACCCCTCTCCCTCCCCAGCTCCCGGTGCTCCACCCTCGTGCGGACCCCAGGGCCTTTGCACCGGCTGGGGCTGCCGGACCCTAGATTTATTTTTCTTTCTGGGGGGAGCCCTTGGCACGGTTTCAACTGACGTCTTGCTCTTCTGACTGGCCACCTCGACCGCTCTGTAAAGTGTCAGTTAACGGGGGCCCATCCCCCCCCCCGCCCGGGACAGGGCTCACTTGACACTTGATGGGAAGGACACCGCTGAAGTCCTGGCCGTGGCGCAGGGTCCCCCCGTGGCGCAGGGTCCCCCCGCCACGCCACGCCGCCATCCGTCTCCGCCAGGACAATCCCACGAGCCGTCGCCCCCGGTCACGGTCACGCACCGTGGACGCGCCGCGGCTTGTTCCTGGCTGAGTAATACTCCGAGAGCGGTGACCACGTTGCATCCCTCCGTGGCCCCGGGGGGGGTTCTCCGGTTTTGACCACTGGGCCGCGCGGTGGGGTGCGGGGTCCCCCTTGAGGTGGCCTGATGGCTGCCACTCGCTGGGTGGCGAGTCCCCCGCGGCCAGCCCAGAACCAGGGGGGGGCTGGGGGCACACGCTGTCCCCAGCTGGGGGAGGCCTTCGCATCCACATCTGTCAAATGGGCCCACCTTTCTTAGCCCTGAGAGGCTCAGAGAGGGGCAGTCACCTGACCAAGGTCACACAGCAGGGGCTTCGGCATGGAGATTCCAACTCAGCAGGGGTGGGTGGGGGGCACCAGGCTGGACGAATGGCCACGTGGAGCGGGGGGCTGGGCATGGCGACCCCTGACCCCCCCAGGCAGCCCCAATGCTCCAGGAGGGGGAAGCAGACCCCACACAGCCCGGGGCGGCTGCTGACCTGACTGCACCCCCCCCCCCGTTTCAGACACGACGGAATTCCAGGAGAGCTTTGTCACCTCCGGCGTGTTCAGCGTCACGGAGCTCATCCAAGTGTCCCGCAGTGAGTGACACACGGCGGGGCCTGGCCAGGACGGGGGGGCCCCCACCTCCGTCCCTCGCATCCTCCCCACACACCGTGACCCGGTGACCCGGAAGGCACTCCCAGGGGCGGGGCCACCAGTCACCTCCCCAGGAAACAGGAACCACCAGTGCTGGGTCCTCCAAGCCCCACCCTCCCGTTCCTTGGCCTCAGGCACTGCCCTGCCTTAACAGTAACTTCCTGTCCACATCAAAACAGCCTGGCCTCAGCTGTGGCTATGCCTCTGCCTGACGGTGCAGCCTTGGCCTCTCCCAGAGGCCTTGGTCTTTTGACAACACAGACTCCAGATTTGCGTCAAAATAAGAACCAAGCAATGGTAGTGGGGCGCCGGTGGCTCACACCCGTAATCCCAGCAACTCAAGAGGCTCAGATCTGAGGATCCCAGTTTGAAGCCAGCCCAGGCGGGAAAGTCCCTGAGACTCTTATCTCCAGTTAGCTGCCCAAAAAAGCCAGAAGTGGCTCTGTGGCTCAAGTGGTAGAGCACCCAGCCTTGAGCACAACTCAGTGCCTAGGTTCTGAGTTCAAGCCCAGCACACACACACAGAGCCAAACAGTAGCTCTAACCCATTATCCCAGCTACTTAGGAATCGGGGAACAGGAGGATCAAGGTTCAAAGCCAGGGGCTGGGAAGGTGGCTCAGTGGTAGAGCGCTTGCCTTGCATGCATGAGGCCCTGGGTTCGATTCCTCAGCACCACATAAGCA